GATACACATGAATGAAAGTAGAACTGGATCTGTAAAATTACCTCTGAGGTCCCCTGCTAATCAGATGAAGAACTGGTACCAGAACAAAGTCCAGGCATTATAGACACTTTTGTGCAGTCAGCCTGCCAGGAAAGACATATCAGGAATCTTTAGTCTGGGGCTGTGGGGAAGTGTCATACTGTTTAATTACCTCGTGTGTAGACACCATTTGTACAAAGCAAGGCATTTTTTTCTCCTTCATTAATGATATTCTTTAAACTTGACCAATAATATGGAGCAGAAGTATTATGGAAACATCTGTTTACAGAAGGATATCATAAACGTCCCTGTATAACATGGCATGACGTAAATATGGATTTAAATTAATGAGGTCGTCAAGTAGATGTGATTTGCTCAGATTGGCTCCAGCTTATTACAAAACATCATTAAACACTTGGATTGCATGTCTGGGATAGTATAATAATCTCGGCCATTCTTCTACCCTTGATATATAGTGAAGATGCTAACATAAAAAATTTTGATCTCATTGAATCTTAAAATACTGTACAAGTATTATCAGTGATTTTCTTCTCATAATAAATGCACCATGAAAAAGAGCTCATTCGTTTGGACTTTGCGAAAGTCGTTCTGTTCATTTGTTATACATGTATAAGAATTTGAGAAAATATAAAAAATATGGTAAACAAGGGAAAATAACAAATGTATTTAATATATATATATATATATATATATATATATATATATATATACACACACACACTCACATACACTGGGGGTATATATAGATATAATACTTTGCTATACTGTTTACTTCGTTTTAGATATACACCAGACATATACACACATACAAATGGGGGTATGTGGAATGTACTAACTTCTTATATTATTATGTACAAAGGGAAAATAACAGATATGTGTGTATATATATATATATATTCATACTTTGCTGTACTGTATGTATATATAAAATATATATATATATATACACAGATTGTAAGCTCGAAAGAGCAGGGCCCTGGAACCCATCATGTATTGTTACTGTATTGTCTCTTGTACTGTCCCCCCACTTTAATATACAGCGCTGAGCAAACCCTTTGGCGCTATATGAACACTGTATAATAATATACACACATACACACACATTACACAATGGGGGTATGTGAGATGTACTAACCCATTATAACACAGCACACTGATACATATTGTGTTGTACAGGTCCATGTTTATATTATGTACAAAGGGAAAATAACACATATATGATATATATATATATATATATATATATATATATATATATATATATATATATATATGCACTCACACATATACACACTCACACACAGTGGGGGTATGTGGGATGTACTTACCTATTATAGCACAGCACACTGATACATACTTTGTTGTACACGTATGTACAAATGGAAAATAGTACATATATGTGATATATATAAATACATTCACACACACAGTGGTGGTATGTGGGATGTTCTAACCTATTATAATACAGCATATTTTGTTGTACACGTCCATGTTATACACATACACATATATGTGCAATATATATATATACACTCACACATTAGGGGTATGTGGGATATACTAACCTGTTATAACACAGCTCACTGATACATATTTTGTTGTACACGTCCATGTTTATTATGTACTAAGCCTATGGTGTGCCCAGAAATTATTTTCTTATTATATTAAAGCATGTCTTTCTGCGGGTGACAGGTATTAATTATACCACACGCCATATAAAACAGAACTTGATATACGATAATGATAACGTGTACTGGGGAGATTACCCATGACATATCTTCCAGGCTAATGAGTTTAAAAATTATAACGGAATTAGAGATGGAATTGTTATCTGGATGGTTGGATGGTGCTTTCTTGGGGGGGGGGGTGACTAGTAAAGAAAAAAAAGGAGTTATTGGGGATGAAATTATTGCAATTAATTTGAATATACAAGATGACTGCAGATCACATTGATATTTTTTCAATAGTAAAATTTAAGCATTTATGCTCATTGTTTTCCACTTTCACTGTAAAAAATATGGACGTTATAAAAATAATTATAGTATAAAATCTCTAGAAGAAAAAATATGTTTAAATATACTTATAACAATCTTAAAAGCTAGCCCAATGTCCATCCCAATCATTCATCACTGTGTTGAAGCTGCTAAATCCATGTGAGCATGTGCTGTCCTGATATTATAGAAGACAAGTAGGTCCAGGGCTCCAGTTAGCAGACACACAAGGCATATGCGTGGGTATTAACACATGACCCCGATGTACACGGTTTCTCCAAGCCAGCAAGAGTCTCCAGAGCTAATTGGCAGGGCTCATTTTGGCTAGACAAGCACTTTCAACTTGACCTTGGCCTCTATCCCTGCTCAACCCTCACGCATAGCTGTCCTGCCCTGTGCTGTTGCTGCTCTGTGTACACTGACAGTGGTGTCCAGGCAGTGTCCTGCACTCTGTTACTGCTCACTAAACACTGCTTCATGACTGCATGCTAAAATTCCCTACTTGCCTACAGCTATTAGGGAACAAATTGGATCCCACTAACATATGGGATAGTCATTGCACTGCAATTATTGAATAAATCCCTGCATATTTGTTAACAGGGCTGGAATCAAATATAGCAGCTATATACTGTATATATAACTTGTGGTATTCCTAGCAACATGGACACTCGCCTTATGTATATAACACTGTATACCCTAGTAGCTACAATAAAAATGTACATATGGACGTACCCATATACTGTGTTCCTTAGTGCTGCATTTTAATAGTTTGATGAACACAGATATGTACCACTGATTCATAAATACAACAAATTCTTCAAGCTACATATATCAGTTCCACTTCTGCATACTTAAATTTATTATTCGTAAAACATGTGGGTGGGCTATAGTGTACATTATGAAACATGGACATGTACAACAATATACTGTGTGTACCAGTGTACACTGCTGCAAATGTACAGCCTATGGGATAATGCCTGTATTATTATTACCGAATACACAAGCTGGGTGTGTATAGTGAGGGTGTGTATTTATGCTTAACACTGCGACAGAAAGTATATTACAGGGTATATTAGTTGTATATCGAGATATGTATTCCTTTGTCTATATGTCTGCGAGGAAAGAAAAAAAGAAAGAAAAAAAAAGAAAGAAAGAAAGAAAGAAGAAAGAAAGGGGGAGAAAAAAGAAGGGGGGGAGAAAGAAAGAAAAAAGAAAAAGAAAAAGAAAGAAAGAAAAGAAAGAAAGAAAGAAAGAAAAAAAAAAAAAAGAAAGAAAAGAAAGAAAAAAAAGAAAGAAAGAAAAGAAAGAAAGGAAAAAAAATGAAAAAGTATTTTTATTTTTCATCAATTTGATTTGATATCAATCTAAAATGACATACGATATAGCTTATTCACTAGCATACACACAATATACATATATAGAGAGCGGATGCATATTTGAGTGTTAATCTCTGAGAATGTATGTGCAGTATATGAACACACGCATCATGAGCACACATACATGTGCACCAACAATTACACCTTCACTCATACGTGTGCTGATACATGTATACAAGAGAAACGTTTTTATTCTCTATGGCATGATCTTTTTCATAGGTGAGTGATGCAAAATCCACCTATTTTTTGCACTCACGGAAGTGCATGCACCATCATCATCTATATATATCTATATCTATCTATCTATCTATCTATCGATCTAATAGATAGATATTTTTTCATATATATATATATATATATATTATATATATACATACATATGTATATATATATATATATATGTATGTGTGTGTATCTGCTATCTTTTTTTCTATATTTATCCATTTTTATTCATGTCTATCTACCTATCTAACTTCATGAATGTGCACGTAGGTGGGGTGCTCATCTTCTGCTTACCCATATTTTATTCTATTCATATATATACAATTATTTCTGTGTACATAGGTGGGTGATCTCAATGCTGCTTTGGCCATAGATCATGTCTTTTGGGGTCTATAGTGAATAGGATGTCTAACATTCCTCTACACTGTCTCTATGTATCAGAATAAATACTCCTGTATAGTTATCTGTACAGAATGCTATGTACTATCATCAGTAGTCACGTCACAAGCGCCGGTTTCCCTTTCAGCAATAACGTAAGGCAATGTATCAGCCACTTGATTGATCCTAATATATCATCCGATGTTATGACAATAGAGAGGGCAGACACATGTCACACAATGAGGTGATCGGCCGGGCGATGAAGGGGAAGGCTGGGCTAGGCTGGGTGCACTCTCCCGGTCGGTGATCGGTGATCGCACCGTGTGCACGGCGGTGTACGGATACATTGCTAGAAGTAGGAAGGGGGGGAGAAAAAAATGAATTATCTGCATTCTGCTGCTCTGAGGTTTATCAGCTGCTTTGCATATCACGTGGGCGCCGTGAGCCAATCAGGCGGCTCGGTGTGCGAGGCTGGCGCGTCAGCCCTGGTTAGTCTGAGAGATTTCCAATGTGTTTTTTCAGTCTTTGGGGCTTTTAAAAAAGAGCCACTAGTCTCAATGCTGGCCGGGCTATGACAGCTTCAGTGCTCCTCCATCCACGCTGGGCCGAGCCGGTGATGTTCCTCTACGACAACAGCTTGGATGAGATCAATAAGAACATGGAAGGCTTTGCCGGGAGCAACTTCGCCGCCAACCAGTGCCGGAATCTGATGGGACACCCGGCTCCTCTGGCCCCCAGCAGCGCCTACTCGTCCAGTGAGGTGCCAGTGTCCGGCATCGCGGAGCCTGTCAAGCAGTGCAGCCCGTGTTCCGCGGTGCAGAGCTCCTCCAGTGCCAGCCTGCCCTACGGCTACTTTGGCAGCGGATATTACCCGTGCAGGATGACACACCACAATGCCATCAAGTCCTGCTCCCAGCCCTCCTCCTTCGCAGACAAGTACATGGAGACCTCAGTCTCCGCCGGGGAAGACTTCCCCTCCAGGGCCAAGGAGTTT